CACTTTTCAGCTCCCTGCCTGTGCCAATAACAAGGAGGGCATACAATGGCTGGGGGGAGAGACGGGGGTGTGGGGAGAAGATGGTGGCGGTTGACCGTAATGGAGTCAAGACCCCTAACAGGCTGTCAGACGCTGCTCACTTGCTGCACAATTACAACCTCACATCCACACACTCACAAGAATCAATCCAATGTTTTCCTGAACAGATGGTATATTTCTATGTGTGTGTGTGTGCTTGTCTGTACGTGCATGTGTGTGAGCCTGCGCCCCGGCGATAAATATTAATTATACAATGGAGAGCGGGCCACGTGCCATCTCATCATACCATGTCAAATCTCATCAACAACACTACAGAGTGTCAGAGAAGTTGCCAGAGAGGGACGCAGTAGTGTTGGACAAACACAGAGAAGATCTGCGTGCAGTAAATCACACATTTAAAGAGCAGAAATAAAGCTAAAGAGACTAAAATGTCTGAACTACTTGTTTAAATTCACAGCTGCTTATTAAAAAAAAATCCCAGAACCTTGAGGCCTTTTGAGTTGTTTTTTTTATTTCTGCCTTTGTTGATCAAATCCAAATAAGATCAACGCATTCTGCAGCAGCTGAATAGATCTAGTTAACGCCAGAAAGGGCTGGCGGATGAATACACAGTTTAAGCATGACATGGAGAGAATTGGGTGTGGGGGGTGGGCGTTGTTGTGGCCTGCTGAGTCATCCTGGCCTGGGAGATTTGTAAAAACAGCCCCCTCAGCCCCCAGAGTAATGGTTAATCGTTGGAAGTGTGGTGTTAGGGTAAGTGTCTAAGCTTAGCCTGATTGTAGATGGTTGCGGTGGGTTTTGGCATACCTTGGTGTGACAGGGCCAGTCAGGCGGATGGGGCGCATGTTGTTGTAGCTCTAACCGTTGGGAAAGCCCTGTGCAAGCAGATGTCAGGTTCCCTGGCTGGGAGAAGAGCTAGGGCAACTCTCCCAGAGCAAAAGGGAGAAAAAAGCGTCAACTCGTTTTGTTTTTGTTGTGGTTGTGTTACCTCTGCTATGTGTCTGATCTTGCCCCTCTGTTTTTCTGTGAATATTGAACTGGTACAGTTGGTCATTTTCAGGACGGCTTGTGATGGCACTAAACCTCACACGGACACTTCCTAGAATGGCGGCACCAATCCATAAAGTGCTGCCCTTAGCCCAGGGGGCACTACTTAGAAAGTATCAGATGTGTGTGGTCACAGGTGTTTTCTCACAGTATAATGGAGTCTAAACATTTACAGGCAATCACAGGCTACCCCACAACTGGTTTGGGTTTAGTTCTACTAACAGAAGCATAGCATTGTAGATATGGAAATAAACACAAAGTCACCGTTACACAAAGCTGTCAGTGGCACAAAGCAGGCATCTATACAGGCAGACCAAATCCTAACAAACTTTGATCTATCTCATATTGTTGTTCATAAACCTTGTGCTATGTAATTGCACTTGTTCAATAACGACTTTTTCATGTGAAAATCCTGCTTTTCTTAGTCTTTGAAGGGAAGGTTTTGGCAAATTGTCCATAGAGTCAGCTCACGCCATTCATTCAGGGTATCTGTATCACAGATATGCATTAGTTTCTCATCCTGTGCTACAAGTGTATCCTCTGTGGGTGATCGGTGTCTCTTTGGTCATACCGGCAGCTGGATAATTGGCTCCTGTTAGTCTCTCTGTCACTCAGCCCTGGAGAGCAGGGGCAGAACACTTTCACAAACGCACCCTTTCACTGTCTTCATTAAAAGACAAATACCAATATCTGCCCAAGTGCACGCACACTGTACAGGCTGTGGGCTTACACACGCTCAATTGCCAGAACAAGCGAGTGTCTAAGATTGTGAACTCTGTCATGTTTTTTCCTTTTTGCCTCGAGGTATAAAACAGCTGTTTTCTCCTTCTCATTCTGTTTGAGCCGGAGTCAAATTCTTTATTTCACGCCCTATATGTCATATATCGCATTTCTGTCACAGTTTTTCCTGTGTTTTGTTGAGGGATGAGTCTTTGTGGGTTTATTTTCCTAAAATAGGTTTGAACTTGTATTTGTTACATTCAGAAAATAGCTTCAACTTGTACTTATACAAGCACCAGTTCCACCAAATGGGAAGCAGGCCCTGACATCTGTCTGTTGTCACTCAGATAGAAGCTCCATAATTTACCTGACCAAATATTTCTTTCTCTGTCTCCCCAGGCACAGAAATCGTGGATAGAAAGAGCATTCAGTAAAAGAGAATGTGTTCATATCATAGCGAGCGCCAAAGACCCCCATAGGTAAGTGTGTGTGCCAAATATTGTGTGTTGTTGGTTTTCTTTTCCTCCTAATGATTTGTTCCTTTATGTTTAAAGAAATGTGAGATAAAGTACATAAAGTAATTCTTTCTGGACTTCATTATATGCAGATGGCATATTTTTTATGCAATGTAGGGGGTGATAGATATTGAAAGACACTTTTATGGGCTTTGTGTCTTTTCATGATACTTTATTATCAGGCGGAATATGAGCCAAAATACTTGTTGATTTGACACATGGTAGGAAAAATATGATATCATAAAAAACAAAACACAGCAAAACTACCAAGTGTAAAAATCAAATTTGGATTTTGTTGCATAAAGTGCACAGGATAAAAGTCATTTGGAAAGAAAATGTACAAATATAGAAGAACATATAGAAGAGACTTGAATTATTTGCAGTGTCTTTAAATGACCCATTTCTAGAAGTAGAATGTACATGTTAAGTGCAAAGAAAAGGAGTCTGAATCATGGCAAGCACTTTGTGAGATACTTGAGCGTTGGGCCAAGACGTACTACAGAAAAGATATTTCCAAGGTTTCATGAGCAGGGCAAATTAAACGTCTCCAGATGTAGCAGATAGATGAACAAACTCTACTGTCGAAATTGCTGCTTAGACAATTATTTGTCCAGTGAAGGACAGTTTCCATCACACGCATTCACATCACTGATGATGGGAAAATGTAAGTCTTACTTATGGTAGGGATAACTTGTGTGTCCTTCTCAGATATGTGGGTGTTGGAGGATAAGACACCTCATTTGGGAGGATTAAATAGCAGTTTTACCTAATGCTTAACGTGAGCCCATGGAGAAACTGAAAGAAGGATGGAAGGATGAGAGAGGGCAACATTTTTTCTCCCATGTAGATTAATTCATTTTGTATTATTTACTCTGGCTTTGATATTTGCTGTTGGAGACATTAAATGATAATCAAAGCATCCCAGCTCCATCCTTAAAGGACTCCCTCTCCACCGTGCAGAGATAAAACAATAAGAATTTGAAAGCTGCATTCAGAAAAATCTTAGAATAAGCATGCACTTACCTAAGAACCGTACAATTCCTGACTGTCACTCTGCCAAGTCATTTCATGCCTGAGAGGGAGAGGGCGACAGATTTTCTGAAAAGACAAATCAAAAGAAACAAGAGCCAGTGAAATGTTTTATATTCCCCTCCTCTTTTCTCAGTATGAAGATGAAAGTCATGTGACGATCTCCCACTCTAGGCTTGCCCTCCTCTTACACCTGCTTTAATGAATATCATTCTCAGGCTACAAGATATTGTCATTCTCCTTTTTATTTCTTATCTCTACAGCCAGTTTGCTCTGAGTTCTCACCATTTCAAATATCATTATTTCAATTCTCTGTCAAAGTCTGAGCACTGTGCCAGGCCTGCGGTCACTCTTTATTCATTCATCTTCTCCAGGTGCTGCTGCGGCCGTCTAATAGGTCAGCATGTGGGTTTGCCGCCCGGCATTTCATCCAGTCAGAACGACAAGGCTGAGCGTTTGGCCAAGAATGACAGCCTCTCGGAGAAGTGGTCCATCAGCAAACACACACAGCTCAGCCCCACCGATGCCTTCGGCACCATCGAGTTCCAGGGAGGAGGACACTCCAACAAAGCCATGGTGATTCCACTTAAATGTTTACACCTATTTGTCCGTTTCATCCTCAACATAGACCTGAAAAATTCTCTTGAGAACAGAAAAGCAAAAGGCCGCCCAGATGTGGCATTGTGACTAAAGCAATTTCTCTTTTAGATCTAAATAGATTTATGACCACAGCTTCAAAAATATGTACTTAAAAAATCCCATCAATTTATCTGCTTCAACAATTTTTTTCCTCAGGATAAATTATTTCAGATTTATCTCCTTTAGTTTTATTTTACGTAAACAGTTTTCCAGATTTTGTGAAAACAGAATTTCCTCAACATGGCATCTGTTGAGGAGGGTAAGCCTTTGCTTATTGCACTGAGGAAAGAGGCTGAGACAGCTCACACAACCTCCAACCTCTGTGTCACTTAGAGGAGTCAGAGGAAATTCCTTTCTCAGTAAATAGTTGACAGTTCAGCTAAAGCTCCATGAAGCTGGACAGTGGGATTGTTTGGGTGAGAGGTGAACCAACATGGGAAGAGTCAGTGTTCTTCTGATATTTCATGCTGTGGTGACCCTTTTTTGCAGTTCAGGCATCAAGAACTTTTATGGGATTCAAACATCATTACTATAATAAATCGCAGATCGTATGAGGCTCAAATTTGTGCATTTGTCTAGTGCAATTTTCAGATTTTTGCCAGTGTATGGACAAAAAAGTAGGGAAATATTTTTCGAGGTCTCCTTCAAAGTTAGAAGAGAGCAGCCATTTATCGTTTGGCCTTTTACCTCAGATTCTAACCTCTGTTGGAAATGCCTTGTGTGAATGCAAACATATTAGAGATGGAGATTTCTATCACGTGCTGTCTGCTTTTCAACCCTTTGATGTACCGATGGTTGATAGAGCGCATTTTTCAGTGACTTTGATGTGATTAAAAAGATTTGGAAAGTCACCGTATCGGAGCCATCTCCACACACAGGCATTGTTCCAAGCGAGTTTATGTGTTGAAATAGCTATTTTCAGATCTGCCCTGTCAAGTGAGATCAAATGAAATTGAAAAATAAATAAATAAATATATAAATTTTTACTATTCTAGCCCAAGGAAATTTGAAATGCAAATCAACATTTCTACCACCATTGTTCGTAGTATAAACACTAAGTAGTTATGGTATATGTTTGTCTCTAGAACATCTTCTGTGCTTTTCCGTAGTATGTACGAGTGTCTTATGACACCAAGCCTGATCTGCTGCTCCACCTGATGACCAAGGAGTGGCAGCTTGACCTTCCTAAGCTGCTCATATCAGTCCACGGGGGCCTGCAGAACTTTGAATTACAGCCTAAACTCAAGCAGGTCTTTGGAAAAGGGCTCATCAAGGCTGCCATGACAACCGGAGCCTGGATATTTACTGGAGGAGTCAATACAGGTAATTTCTCTGTTTGATTTATATGATTTAAAAAAAATAAAACGTTAATGTGACTAATCATCTGAAACTATGACTATGAAAAACACTTTATCTCAAAGCCTTCCTATAAACTAATAAACACACTAATAATCCTTCAACTATGCCAGTTGGAGGATGATTAGTGTGCTGACATGTTCGACACGAGTTATGAGCTATGAAATAACTGTCAAGCCAGTCTGGGTTCTCAAGACGTTAAACCTCAGGACTTTTATGAATATGAAATGGTTCTTTAACTTATGAGCCCTTTTCTTACCGAAACCTCAGATCAAATCAGAACATCTACATAAAGAAATCAGAGGCTGTGTTTTACTGAAGCAGACCAGAACGTTAATCTTTTTATATGATGGAAACAAATAAAGAGGCATTTAGGGCCCTTCATAAACCCTTTCGTGGGTGGAAACTAAAAATATCTAGTAGATTTTTGCTTCCCATTATAGAAATGAATATGGGTTTCCTTCTGTAAATACTGAGATACAATTGAAACCAGAAGCATCCATTTGCCAACTCTTGGACCAACAACAAAATACATGCTTACTAACATTTGGTTTGGATTTTTCAGCTACTTTTCAATTCATTTTTTAAAATGCAATTAATTCATTTAAATTAATTTTTAACATTAGTTTGTAAATTGAATAAACATAATTAATAATTCATCTATTTGGAAAATAACAAAAAACAAAAACAAAAGAATACAAATAAAACTTCAGCCTGGAGCCACGAACATACTGAGGCCATTAACAGTAGTGGCAGCAGAGTACTCAAAACACAGAAGCCCAATCTCTTAGGAACAGAAAATGGGGGTCTGTAAATGAGGTAATGATGACATATTGCATACAGGTGTGCATGTTGGAAATAAAGCAGGTGAAGTGATTAGTAGAAGTTAGAGCAGCTGTGGAGCAAGGTGCATAATTAAGCCATGTCCAAAATCACTCACTATTAATAATCCAATGAACTACTCACCATTCTGAGTTTTCTATTTTGTCATCCCATCTGAATAGACAGTAACCATCATAGACAGTAGTATTCCTTCTCAAATAGTAATGTTGAATCAGTTGCTAAATTAACTCAGTCCATCACAAACGTTCACACAAATATTGACCTGGGACACAAAATTGCACATTGGCATAACTCAGCATAATTGTGGTTACCCTGTTAGTAACAGTCAGAGAGTGTTCAAATAATGAGAAGCTGCTTAACAGAATTGTTCAGGGGGAAAACTTTGGCAAAAGTAGGCAAGATATGGAGAAAAAAAAGCAGAATGATATATTTTAGAAAAGAGTAGCTGAGGCTGTAAGAAAATGGCATGGGCTGTTACCAAGACAGGGCCAAAATGTGCCTTTAGGGATTATTGGCATTCAGGAGACACTGCAAAGCATGACTCCAGGAAACACATCTGCATATGCTCAGGAGCACCTCTAAAAACCACCGCCAGGTTACCACGGGTTTGTAACTACATGCACAACTGCAAGTTAAACCTCTCCAACGTCATGTTTTTACCTTTTTTCTGAATACAAACAACATTTGAGACTATTAATGCCTTGGAACTAAGGCTAAAAAGATTCCGGGCTCCTCTTTAATCAATTTCGTACATGTTTTTTAAAAATAGTTAGAATGATTCACGGTTAGAAAATGCTTTGTTCAACATTTCTTGTAAATCGAGAGCTCTGTTGCCTGTAGAAGAGGCCTCATCAGTGTGAACGTTTGTGAGGAGTTCAAAAGACTAGAATATAAAACAAAGGAGCTTAAGGGATGTGAAATTTATTTACATTTATTTATCATGTATGTGGGAACTAAGACTAAGCTGAGGTTCCATAGCCGTGTCACTCTTTATTTGTGACATGAGGTCTTTGAAGGCTGTTTGCACCTTTTTGTCTAATATTTCAAAATATCCAGATAATTCTAAGATTATATTATGTTACCATACATATATAAGAGGTAAGTGCTCACAGGGTAATTTTGATCTTCTCAGCCTCACCTTGTGGTCTGTCTTGGAGTTACAAAAGAGTTTAATTCATTAGATTAAATTAATGTTTTCATGTTCAGATGGGAAGAAATTATGAATTAATGGAGGTGTATTGTGCCTATTCTTGATATAGAAACGAGTAAAAAGAGAAGATTTTGTGACAGAATGGGCAAGGAAGAGGAAGACAGAGGCTTGAATAATGGATGGTGGTAGGATTGCTGGGCTAGTGGGTGGAGATGGGGAAAGAATGAATGTCAGCTGAAGAAATTTGATAAGATGGCCTGAAGGCTTGACTGCCGATCCCCTGAGGACAACAAAAAGAGGCCTTGAGTTCTCTCTATATGTGTGTGTCCGTGTCCATTCGCTTTGTTGCCATGCTTAGGTCTTCTGTGCCTGATAGATGCTTTTTAGATATCACTGCAGAGAGTGCCATTATCTTGACATTAGGCTGTTTATTGATTGTGACAAAACATATTCTTTTCTCTGTCTCCCACCACTCCCACACACAGGGGTGATTCGCCATGTAGGTGATGCATTGAAAGATCATGCTTCCAAATCAAGGGGGAAGATCTGCACTATTGGTATTGCTCCTTGGGGCATCGTTGAAAACCAAGAGGATCTTGTTGGCAAAGATGTAAGTGTTTCAAAGAAACCATCCATGCCGAATCCACATGAACAAAATTGTCTGATGCACACAACAATTTCAACACACTGAACACTCCTTTCTTTTAAAATATTGATCAATCTAGACATTATCTAATGCAGACCATTAATAATTCTTCTTAGGTTCAGCTAATTAACAAAGATGCTGAGTAGGAAAATCTTATCTGTGAGAATTACTCCTTCAAAGTATTTTGGACAGCTGGTAGAACCTTGTGAGACTGCGTTGCTCAGGCTGTCTCATTCAAATCTCTAGGAGCCAGTGTTATGTTAGCGTTAAAATTTAATCAGAATGTGCCACGCTTGGTCCCACTGAATAAGTCAGGCAGAGACGATTAATCTGGGTGGCTGAAATGAGTTTATTAAGAACAGCGATACATTGT